CCCAAATATATTTTATAAAGATGAAATAAATATAACTAAACGAGAAAAATAACATGAGACACGTTTTTTTTAATTTAAAAAATCTGAACATAAAAATTAGAACGATATTCACTTTTAATATATCTCGTATACGTCTGACCGATCTTACATAGACGGGGAGCCACCAAATTTGCAAAATTCAAACGCACCGCAGTGTTAGTTCAAAAAATCATGTTACAGATTAAACGTTAACAGAAAAAAATAATGTGTCCGATAAATTTTAACAATTTTGTAAAATTTATGAGAAGTATCGTAGTTAGGAGAAGTACCAAGCTAATAAAGAATTCGCTTTATTAGATTGGAAGAAATGATGCTAGGTAATTTTGAAGATTTCTACTGTTTTTTTCTAAAAACGTAAAAGTTAGAAAATTATTCACTTATAAATTTTCAATAGATAATTTTCTACTGCTCATTTGTCTACGTTTAGATTTTAAAAAATAGGCTTCTATATTTGTTCAAGCTTACAAAAACTGATTTAGATGAATTTGAAGCATTTTTTTACTGTAAATTTTGCTTTAAAAGACTTACAAAGGTATAATGCTGCATTAATTTTACCCAGCAGGTTCATAATCGATATTGAAAGTATCCGAGTTTAAACATAAATTAACTTTTCACCTCTATATTAGTCGAATACCGCTTCATCGTCTTATGACTGATATTAGACCAAAAGGTATCATAAAATCAGTCATATAAGTCAGATATAATATAAGGTAATAAACCAACTTAAAACAAAACTTAAACACCTTTCTAAAAATGCTGGTAGTAAAATTCTATCGATTAATTGTATGGCAGAAAACAATTCTAATCGCTCTTTAAATTTGATCATTGGGTAAAAGGCTCTCAAAAATATTTAAGCATTTTCATTTTATACTAGATACAAACTAAACAGGTAACTAATAAAACTTGTGATGAGTGGTGATACTCATTTGAAAACTCTTAAGGGGAGTCGTCATACTGACAATATTAAACTGCCTAATTGCGCGTACCTTTTACTCAAATACTATTAAATATAGGGACTTGAAATTTTTCGTAGGAATTAAATATACACTTTTTCAAATACTGAGGTGAAAATTTAACCGAAGAATTTTTTTTATTTAAAAAAATATTTACCGAACAATAGTGTAAAAAATTCCTTCCTATGGCAGTTCAACGCTTAAAAATATATTTCATGAATTATCTCAAAAATTTAACCTTATTTCATACATAGTTACTCAAAATAAATACATAGTAAAACTTTCAAGATTGTATACTGAGTGGTAATGACATTTCTGGAAGAGAAAAGAGCATAATTCTGGTTTATAAAATAAAAATATACGGTACGTAAACCTTTCATTTGGTAATTTTTATATTCATATACGTTTATCGCAAATTCTGGTTTTCAAAAAATTATAGTTCTTACTATCATACATTAAGTAAAAAAATACAAAACTGAAAAGCAAATTGAACCGAATAAATGGTTATTATGACATGCTCTAAGGTATCAGGAAAAATTACTACTTTTACCAAAATTTATCTCACAACATAAAACCCTATTTTTTTGTTAGTTTTACTAGAATCATTACCAAAGAGCTTTGGATCAAATTGCTGAGCTTTTTGGTGTTCCCATAGAGTCAGAAACACGTTAAATTTCACCATTTTCAGTAGTTCTGACAGTACTTTTTTTTCTTAGTGTATGTTTACACTGTAAAATCAATTTAAATGACTTTTAATTTAACTAAACATAAAAATAATACTGACAAAAAATACTGACTATCCTTAACGTTCATCAGTAGAGCCCGGATTTTGATGACCTAAAAAATTTCAACTAATGCCCTTAAAAAGTTGCAAAAAATGCCCTTAAAAAGGGCAAAAAATGCCCTTAAAAATGCAAAAATTGCGCAAAAATGCAAAAATTGCGCAAAAATGCCTTAAATGAAGTAAAAATATTGAATTAATAAAATGTTTTGCTCTTTAAAACTATTATGAGTCATTTAAAAGATATAAAGCAATGCAATACTTGTTCTGCGTTCATTAAAGTTTGAAAAATTTGTTTTATATCCTAAAATAACAAAAAAAGGAAAATATATTGACACCAAAATATTTTTATTTTGTATAGAAACTTTAATGGATATAACAACTTCCATCTCATAATATTACTAAATATCAGAATTACATTGGATTATTAAATGTTTTTTGATAATTTGAAATGTAAACGAGCGTCTCTTGTCTGAAAGTAAATTTTCATTCCTGCAGAAGCTTCTTTCAACGTCTACTGATGTTATAGGTGCGTACTTGAAAAAGACGGTCTCACTTACTGACAATTCTTCTTCAATTTGAAAAGATTTTGCTTCACCTGTTAATATCCTATAGATTTTCTTCATTGTTTGGAAGCCAGTGTAATAATGAAAATTGATAAAAAATAATAAAAATTGTAAAAAATTGACAGAAAACTTCAAAAAATGCATTAAAATGCAAAATACGCACCAAAATTTCAAGAAAAATGCCCTATAAATCTAAAAAAATGCTCTAAAAGACAAAAAATGTTCAAAAATGCAAAAAATGCAGAAAAATGCAAATGTCATCAAAATCTGGGCCTTACTCATCAGCATCAATCCATGGCGTCTGAGAAAAAAAAAATTGTATCATAGATTTTCCTCCACGTCTGTTCTCTCAAACAAGGGAAGATACTTCAGTTTGTTGTGCAGGAAAGCAGTTTTACAGAAACGCAGGCTATTGCAGGAAAGCAAATAGCTTTTCCGTAAGAGCACTGACTCTTTCTACTATACTTTCATCCAGTACAGCACCAAAGGTTTTTAAAATTACTTGTTTCAAGTTATGTACGCAAGAACGCCAACGTGAATGAAAACATAAAACGTTTCATTCTATATTGAATCTTTGTGTCGTTTTGTTCTTAAAAATGTTGTCCAATCGGCTTAAAATGTATTTACAAACAGTGATCAATCAAATTGTGAAAATTTATTTATTTTTTTTTTTAACAAAAAATATCTTACTTTGTAGTTTTTCTTTAAAAAAAATAATTGCTATGCTATCATATAATGAATATCATTCATTTTTTTTTTTTTAAGAATTATCCTATTAATCTTTTTTATTGTAACACTTATTGTAATATTTATAGAAGTATTGTAATACTTCCCCCCACTAGCAACTCAGTAATGATTTTTCGTCTCAAAAATTGTCGTTCCGTTACTTAAAAACAGTATGTTTACAATTTTCGATTAAATTTTTTAATTTATTTTTTCCTAAGCAAATTATCTAAACAAATTCAATAGCGTATCATATAAAAGATTCATTTTTTCCTTTAAATTTTTATTTCTTATTTATTTTGAAAAATAGGGACAAATAACACTGTCTTAGATTAAGGTTAATATAGCACAATTTTTCTTTAGTTTGTCTCAGAAATGTGTTAGTAGTAATATTAAAACTTATCAAATAGTAATTTCAGATAAATAATTTCGTTAAATAAGTTTGTTATTTATTCTTGAATTTGTTATTTATTCTTGATATTTGTTACTTATTCTTGAACCACGGGAAACAGATTAGTAAGTTGAAGAGCTTTTAGCGTAAAATAAAAGTATTTTAAGAAATTATAAAAGAAAAAGACACACAATAATAAATCATTGATCTGAAAATGCTAATTTAATAAATAGCATTCTTTATTCACTTAACATTAACCTCCTGACTTTGACAGTATGGAAATTAGGATACATAAAACATATCCCACGCTTTAATGACCAATTCTTACTGAATAAAAACATTTTCAGAAGCCTTTACCTAAGCTATTTTTAAGTGTTATACGATAGTTTTTTTGAAATTTAATAAAAAAAGGTTTTCGACCAAATTAAATTTTTTTTCTTTTTTTAAATGTTTATCGTGAATATATGTATATTTCGAAAAAACACAAATGAAATAAAACGAAATAAAAACACAAAATAAACGCAAATCTTATTTCATTTCTTCAACGTGTCTCGTATTAGCCTCATTATTTTAATTTATTTGTGTGTGTGTGTTTGTTTTTAGTGTTTCATACTAACACCAATTAATCCTCAACTTGCAATGCACATATGTGATTCAAATATTCTCCAGGAAAATCATTTCTATTGTATTTTTTCCCCTCGCGTATAAAATGAAAACTTCTAATGAAACTTCCAAAATCTAACCGAGATCTTTAAAATCAATCTGAGGATAGGAATTATGAGGCATAAGGTAAAAGCCTGACTGCTTACACAAGAGCTTATTCTAAAAAAGGTAATTAAGGTTTTTGTTTTGGCACCTTCTTATCTTTTTTCTTATTTTTTTTTATTTTTCATTTATAATGAATGTTTAGATGTTATGTATTTTGAGTTGAAACATTGGTTTTTTAATGTTTTTATCTATTCTGAGTTCATTTTTCAAAAGAGCTTCTATGCATTATTTCTCACACCTTGTTGGCGCAATTAAAATTACGAACTTGCTCTTTGGTTTTGAAACTTGGAGCAGTATCATTGTAAAATATGGAATAATTTGAAATTTGAAAATTTAGTGTTTTATTTTGCATCATCAAAAGCTCTAGGATTTTTTATTTAATGATTTGTTCAGGAAAAAGTTGCTTAATAAAAATATATCATGTTGTAAACGGGAAGGAATTTTGAAGATAAACTTGGGAAACTTGGGGGAAAAAAAAATCTTCATTCGGAGAAAAACAAATTTTATTTTTTTATCCTCGAAAGGCTTTGTTTAGGAGTTATTACAAGAAATTAAAAACAGGTTTCAGAAGAAAGAAAAAAAGACATTCGTCAATGCTTATACACTATATTATTTCTGTTAGCAAGAAGAAAAAAAAGAAAGAAAAACGCTAAAATGTTGTATTAATTCTAAAACAAATGTTAAATTTTTTCAAATTTATATAATTTTTTTTATTTAAAATTAAGGAATGTTATTAGTTTTATTTTTTTCTCAAATTGAAGTAATTTTTCTATTTTTAGAATAGAAAGGAAAGAAACTATATTTAAAATACATTGGTATTGAGAAGAAAGAATATTTCTAGAAGCCTGCTCGAGTTTTGATACAATGTGTGAGAAAAATGCTACTGAATACATTTTTTCAAATTGAAGTAACGTATTTTATATTAAAAATACAATAAAAAAAGAAGAAACTTTAAAAATACAACACAATATTTATGAAAAAATAGAATGAAGAGTGTAAAAAATAAAGTGATTATGCAGTGGTAATGACGGACTTGGAACAAGTGTTCGCTCGAGTTTTGATACAAAACGGTAAAGAATAATAATTATTACTATAAACTATTTCTTTTCAACAGTTGTAACATATTTTTCCTCATTTGAAACACAAAGTATAAAATCAAATATTAATTACATTTTAATGAAACCTGAAGAGACAAATGAGATTTTGTTAAACAAAACGGAAACCGAAACATGATGAAATGCCGAAATAGGATGCCAGACACAACAAAAACAATAAATTTATGTTCCAGACCTATTCGGTTTCCCATTGGTCGCCCACCCAATGACGTCACTTGATGAAAAAGAAAGAATGGCCAGCTAGGTGAGGCAAGGATAGACGTGCTGCAATTTCTTACACATTTTCTTTTTCATTCATTATTTAAAGACCTTGATTTGGGACTACGGAGAAACCTTACCATGTGAATGACCTTCTTCGACGCACATTTTTGCCGTCGCTCTCTTCTGGATAAGGAAAAATATGTTTAAAAAAAACATCTCAGATGCAGACATATAATTAACAAGTTTTACAGCTTTCAAGACAGATGGAAGTGAAAGATAAAGTTAAGAAATTTTATAGATAAAGCAGTTCTATAATTTTGTGGTAATAAAGTTATCAAGCTGCAAAGTAGAACACTGTGTTAAGTAAAATCGTAAAATGCAACTTGGTATCCGCTGGACTTCTTATGCATACCAATATTTTTTTCATAAAACATATTTTTGGTAACATTTTAAAATTGAATGTAAATGTTAAAGGTCATTGAAGTACATTTATGATTTGAAATTAAATAGGAAAGGAAACCATAAAAGAGAAATAAAAATTTGTTAAAAAATAGCGTGAGGATTTATAAGAATAGGTCAGACTTTTTTTTTTTTCCATAAGTAAAATTTTACAGCAAGCTGATTTTTAGTATTGTTTACTGATAGGCTTTTTATAAGTTTCTTCAATTTTCATTCGATAACAAGAATTAAGGGCTTGGGTCGATTTAACGACAAGATAAACTTTTTATAAATATGTCTTTCTTTTTATTTAAGTCAATCTGTTCATTATTGTTTCTAGATAGGTGTTATGCGAGTGTTTGAAATTCCTATTGATAACAAAACAATACACATAGAAACATCTTTTTCTTCCATTGAAATCGTAGTGTTTTTTGTTTGTTTTTTTCCCCTTTCTTCATTGATTATTTTGAAACTATGACTTATGTTGTTCCATCTGTGGGAAAGAAGTATGGTGGAAACTTCCTGAATATGGTAAAATCAACTGTATTTCATTTCTATGGAAACACCGAAAGTTTCACGAATTTTTTCCGAAGCAATTTGGTAATGATTTTGATGAAATGAACAAAAAAATATGGTTTGTTAATGTGTGACAAAATTTGGCAAATGGAGTAAAATTTGGTAATTTTATCATGATACTTCAGAGCGTGGCATAAAACTTATCCATTCGTTTAAATTTGCTCTTAGTTTCGTATTCTTTAATAAACGTGTGGTAATAGGAACTATTAATTGTGAGAATCAGAATTTCTGGTAAATAATTACCATATGAATGGAACAATTAACAATTGAAAGGTTTAAATACCGTATATTTTGGTTTTATTAACTGAAATTATATTTTGATTACCAGAATTGTTTTTACCATACAGTACGATAATTTTACCAGAATAATTTTTTCATCCTCGAAGCTCTCCAATTGCGTTATTTTTTATTCCGTATTTGAAAATAAAATAAAAAAAGTTTTTGAAAAAAAATTTAGCGGAAAAATTTCTAGAAAATTAATAAAGAACTATAAAAAAATTTAAAATTATTTATTTCAGATTTAATCTCTTTCTTGAAGCTCTTAAATTTCATTATTTTTAATCCGTATTTTAAAATAAGGAGAACTTTTGAAAAAAAAAATTACAACTGAAATATTTCTAGAAAATTGATAAAGAACTACGAAATGATTTAAAATTGTCTATTTCAGATAAAAATTTATTTTTACGTAGCAGAAATGCATTATCAATATCTGCGACTTTAAGGTTATTTTTTTCTGTAAATAAATTGAATCTAACAATATTTTACAACAATTTGTAAGTAAATTCAGACACTTCAATCAAGTCGAGCTCAAATCATCTTGTTAACTTATCCAAATTTAAAATGAAGAATGGGGAGTATACTCTTCGCAAGCAAGTCTTAATTGTAGGTAATTTATCATTTGCATTTGGCATTTAATAGTCAGGTCAGAACAGAGCATATTAAGCTTATTAATCATTTTCCATTTAAATATTTATGCCCGCTGACAGACATGTTTTGAAATATACTCTTTTATACACCGTTATTACTTAATTTCATTGCAGTTATTTTGTTGACAATTGTAACAAATGGATGTGTGTAAAAATGCAAAGTTTTTGCTGTTGTTTTTTAATGTAAAAACATAGAAAACTTTTAAATTCTGACACGTTAACATTAATTTTCAAATTTTTCCCAATTACTAAGAAGTACTGCTGTTGAATAAATTATTACACTAAATATTTTAATATATCATCATATTTAACTTTTTTTTTAAAAAAAAGCAGCAGTTTTAAATTTAAAAAAAAAATAATCCTGTCATGTCTGAGTTGGTGGGGATGCTTTTTTTACTTATTAAAATACTTTTTTTAATAAAAAAAATGCAGTGTAATTGGGAAGAGATAGTTGATTTTTTAACTACAGTTTGGACAGCTGGAGCTATTGTTCATTCAAAAGCATTATAAATTCAAAAGCAATTGAAAATGGAAAGAAAACAAACGATTATCTTAAAGTAATTAGTCGCTGTATTGTCTATGCTGCATACATCAATTCCCTTCTTTTAGTACTAGCAAAAAAAACACCCACAGAAAAATATACAATAAAAATAAATTTATTTCGAACAAACATTAGATAATTTTCAATTATAATGGTGATAATATTGATAATATATGCATAACTATTTTTAATATATAAATAACTGTATTCTTGATATATATATTAATATATAAATAACTGCTCTACGAAATGATTCTATTTGTCATATCGATTACTTGACTTCAAAGAATCGTGTTTATATGAGTCAAATGCTTGCTTGAGGTTTAACACATTAGGGCAGCGGTTCTAGTTTTATTTTATTTTATTTATTTATTTATTTTTCTTTTTTGGCTATGGAACTCTAATTGATCGACCGCCTTTAAGTGGGACCTATACTGGAGTTACCGTATCTATTATATGCCTATGATATTGGCCAATAAAGCCAATTTCACAAGCTATCGTCGTGCAATATAGTTCCTCATGATTCCCGCATCTAGACATTGGTCGTTTAACAATCCATTAACAACTTTCTACACCTCATTTTCTCCGAGCACACTAACAACTAATTTTGTCACAGGCAGTTTAATTAATGGTGTGTGGTTTTCCAACTTGCCCAATCCTGTGACTTTTTGGGAATAACATTTCTGTTGCGTTTTATTATAGGATTCTGGATATCTTTATCGCAAACAAGGACTCCCGGAACCACGGTCATAGTAACCGCCACGACGCGAGACGGTTGTCCGGAGTAGTTCTCCTGAAAGCCGCACTATACACTCTAGAATTCCGCAAAATCCCTTTTGGGAAACGCTACATAAGTTTATGTTTATCACTTCCTTTCATCAGTTTTTTTCTTATAAGTTGTACAAAATGTTTATATGACATTCGATCAGAAATCATTTCTAATTTTCAGAAATATTTAATATTTTAAAACGATTTTCGTATCATTTCACAATTCCTCGCACTTTTTCCCCCGGATAAGAAGCGGTCTCTTCTAATTAAATAAGTTCGTCTCATCTATTAAGTGTTTATCAATAATAAAGGCAAATAATCGAATAGTATAAGTAACTGATTTATTTTTTTTAAAATTATCTGTACAAATAAAAGCAAATAGAATCTGAAACATAGATGTAAAAATTGCGGATATTTCATTGGCTGTATCCCTCTCATTATTGAATTCAACCAGCGTTTAACATCAATTTAAAGTATCTTTTTATCGGCATTATCTCGCTTTATTGTTGCAGAGTAACAAATGAATTAGTTTTTTTTTAAACGTCTGACCTTCGGTGAAAATATTAACATTCGACGTGGGTTGTAGTGTTATCAAAAGAACAGGCTCGGTTGATAAAGTATTGGATGGCATGCAAAATATATTTCTGAAGTAAGTAGATAATAGGATTTTTTTTATCAAAGAAAAATAAAAAGACATCTGTATATCATTAGCGGATGCATCAATGCAAGGTATTAAAGCGATATAACACACAACTTCCCTCGCCTTATTATTTTGAAATATTGAATAGGAGATAAATAAATAAAGAGATTTTGATTAGGTGGAGATTAAAATAGAAATGTTCTTTATTTACATTTTAATTAAAGAAAATTACTTGTAATTCTTTTAAATAAATTTCATGTGAAAAATGATTGTTATTCGTGAGATCATAATTACTGTTGTTAAATAGGAGGGAGTAATGATTACTAATTCGATAGTATTTTTTATCTGTGACATACCAATTTTTAAAAACTCAATTTTCAAAATATTTCTTTCCACCTGATCAAAAAAAGAAAAATATAGTGTTTCGAATCATAATCTATCACCAAATGTTTTCTATGAACACATAAAACAACATCGGGACAAGGAAGATTATAAAATTAACCAAGATGGTGAAGGAAGTACTTTTGAAACTCTTTTCTTATTAAAATCATTATAATTTGATATAGAAACTCAGCATGTCTCCTCCAGGCCTATTAATAGGCCGGGATAGCCTGGTTGGTAGGACACTGGACCCATGTCACAGAGTTCGTGGGTTCGATCACAGCCGGCCGAAGTAAATGGTGACTAGTGCACGTTAAATCTGTCGAGTCGCAAAGTCCTCCATGGTCCCATAACAAATCAATACCTCTGGGGTACTTTGATAACGTGCGGAAAAAGCGGCACTTATTTGAATCAGTGCATATCAAATCCAAGTTTCGAAAAAATAAAAAATATGGATGGGTCGTTTTCAAAAAACTTGTCCTTATGGTGTTGCATGACTTTAAGTAATTTTAATTACTGAAATAAAATTCCAAATAACTTTAAGCAATCAAATTCTGTGTGTTTTCAGTACATGCATAGAAATTAATATTTAAAAAATAATCCCTGTTTATTATGTGATGTTTATTAAACATGAAATTTTTTTTAAATACCGTTTTAATATGTCAGATATAACGAAATTGCTATGTCCAAGCGCTCTTTTAACTGCATTTAAACCAACTATTTTTTGAAAATAATTTTAATTTATCTAGTTGTGAGCTCTAGGTAATTCTAAATATAGATTGTTTTAAATTAAAAATTAGTTTTATTAATTTTTGCTTTGCAACTGTAATAGTGATATTTTTTCCGATTAAACTTTAACTGTAAAAATAAGAAATAAATTGAATAAAATATTGATCATGTTTTAAAGTTTAATGTTAGATAGTAATATGAGGTAGATATTTTCTACTTTAATTTATTGGCTTTTAATTTAGTATTTCATTACATATTAAGTTTATTAAATGAAATATAGGTTGGTATCAATATTTGTTAGCCGAAAATTCAGGAATTTTAAAAGCTGGAAAACAAAATAAGGAAGAGATAGAATATCCTCATCAGCTCATACGAATATATCCACAAAAAAGGAGTGCTTTCTAAAATTGTATTTATGTAACCAAATCAAAGTACATTAATATAATAGAGTAAATAAAACTTATTATTACTTTACTTAGTTTACTTCGTTTAATCTCTCTTTTCCTTTATCCTTTTTGTTTTTATTTTGTTTTACTTTTATTACTATAATTGCTTTTTATTTATTTATTTTTACTTTCCTACGCGAAAGCGCTTTAAAGAACACCAGTAAACATATAAGAACTATAGGAATCGTTGGTCGGCTCAGCTAAAAAGCCTACAAAAGTACTTTCGATAAAACAGCCTTGAATCTTCCAAACAACAGATCTTGAATATTTATCTAAATAAAGCATGAATCAGTTGCGTATTTCACATGGATATATAGCAACGTCCACATTCTTTTTGCAGTTGAGCTTCTGTAATCATTTCCACTGAATATCTTACCTGAATGTAAACAGATTAACGAACTCTACCCTCCTGACCTTGCTTTTCTCTTTTGCCGACTTACCCTGGCCACAAAAAAGAGCTGAAGCTTCAGATTTTCCTCCCGCAATATTGACACAAGGCATCAGGAGCTTATTATTACCTTTACCCCGTCCTTCTCCTAACTTGACAAAATACAATGCAAGACAGACGTTGATAAACGTTTTCGCTTCTTTTGTTCACACAGGTGTGAGCCTCCTCTTTGTATATGGGGAGTTAACCTGGTAGTCAAAGTGGCACCTCCTATACCCAGGCCATATTTATATCTTTGTCGTTATAAGATGAGTCTAAACATGTTATTATTTACTATGACCAGTGTGCTCTTGAATTATTGAAGTAATTTAAGTAGT